CCTTCCCTTGCAGAGTGGGGTAATGCCATCCCCAAGGCTCTCGGGTGCTGGAGTGGCTTAAGGAGGTGGCAATGCGGTGGGAAGGCTTGAAGGCTCCTCAGGATTCCATAGTTGCCTTATTGCCACTGGTGGTGCTTGGGGACACACGGGTGGGTATGGCAAGTAGCACCCTTTCTGCTGGCTGCTTGGGGGTACCACAGCTCTGGGGTGCTGTGGGCACCAGGTCTGGAAACACACACTGCTTTCCCAGGGGGATAAAGTGGGGCAGGGCAGCATGCAGAAAGGCTGCCAGCCCAGCTAGCCCTTGCCTGGGCAGGAGAAGGCACCCAGAGGGGTTTGGCCAGTTTCTGCACCCCCTGCTCTGTACTTGGCCTGAGAGCTTTCACAGAGCAGCTGCACACCCAACTCCCCACGCCTGCACCCCGCCGGCTCTGTCCCTGACCTTCTCCTCGACCTGCAGCTGATCGATGCCTCTTGCTCAGAGGGATCCATCGGTCCTAACGATTTCGTCCTGCTCCTCACTAATGAACTCTCATGTCGTGCTGCTTTTGGGCCACAGACCCAGCGGATGCTGAGGAGGGAGACAGAGGGACAGAACGTTAGTTTTGGAGCTTTTAGCCAAAGCACGCCGCTGCATCCTCCTGATCCTCCAGCGCACACCTCCCTGCCCACTCCTGCCCCTTCCAGCCCTGTTCTTTAGAGGAGCCAAGGTGAAGCCACCCGGTGCCACAGGACATCCCCTGCAGGGAGCTGCACAGCATGACCAGTGCCATTCTCAGAGCTGCTGCCCTACTGTGCCCACGTTCTGGCCAGGCAGAAAGGGAGGCCTGGCACTGACCTTTGCTGGGAATCCAGTCACACGCACCCCATCAATAATGAACTGCAAGATAACAAAATGAGCTGTCACAGCCAATTAACACGCTGGGCTTAATCGGCTTGTGAGTTTTCAGGGGGGAGGCGGGGGCAGGCTCCAGCCAGAGGGGCCGGGTGAGGGGTCTGCCAGGTGGCAGCCACTCCTTGCTGGCTCCCTTGGCCAAAGGAACCTGGCCAAGAGCCAGGGCTGTGGGAGGGCAGAGCTGTGCACAGAGGTAAGCAGGAGGACAATGCAGCAATTTCCTTTTTTCTGTGTCATCCTGCCCTGCTGACTCGAAGCTCTGGGTGCAGAGAGCATCCCTCTGATGCTGCTGGTGCAAATGCAGAGCAGTGCCCATCTCTGCCTGTGCCAGCCAGGCAGCTAGAGCTGTGTTTGTGCACCAGAGCCCAAACTGAATAGCAAAACTCACAGCTCAGGCTCCAGGCAGTGCTTGGTAAAATGGTGGTAATAAACCTAGACAGTCCGGAGCAAACCAGGAGCCTCTGCCATTCAAACAGGTATTAATGCCTTCCCCAGAGTGTCTACAGTCAGGCTATGGGCTTTGAAGACAAATGTCTGAGGGTTGTTTTGATGGTGCCTTTATTTCTCTATCTTCTGCACAGTTTTTTCCCACCTCCAATGCTGCCAAGCCCCCCAGCTAAAGGCCTGTGCTACTGGGTGGTTACCTCCCCACTCCCATTTTGCTCTAACGCATGAGAAGAAAAGCCATGCTGCATCTTAAGCATCTGCAATCTCTTGGTCTGAAGTCAAGGAAAGCTCTGCCTATTTGTTCAGGCCAGACCCCCTGTTTGTGCATGTCTGCAAACCATTTTGTAACAATTATTCTCCTGCTTTACCTAAAGAGCACCCTAGCTAGGGAGAGCCCTCAAGGGACCACCAGAATTAGTGGAGATAGGCACAGCCTTGTGAGCTACACCAGCTGTGAGCACAGGATGGGTTGTACAACGTCCATTTGCCTTTTACCACTTTTGTTGCTGTTGTTTTAATCACAGCATCACAACAGAGATGGGACAGCATTTCCATGACTCTCAGGAGGTATCTCCTTCACCAAACCTTGCTCAGCAGCATACCTGCATCTAAAGGACAAATTCTTTCTACCCTGCATCACAAGGGCAGGAAAACCTGGATAAAGTATGTTTCCTCTGACCGTAGGAGAACCCTGTGAAGAGCTGGAATCATATGGCTTCAGAGAGGCTAACAAAAGGCAAAAGACCACAGTGTGTCCTGCCAATCAGATAGAAAGATTACGGAGGCCAGTGGCACTGCTTGGCAGCCTGCCATCAGAAATAACTCTTCAAAAATAGAAGCATGCTAATCTCAGGAACCTTCTAATATTGTCAATCACATTAATGAAGTGTTTGGAAAACCAGAACAAATGCCTCAGCTTTTTGGGGCTGTGCAACCCCCTGTAATTTTCCACACAGCTGTGGAGTGGTCTGGCTGCTGCAGCCAGCTGCTCTCCTGCACAGCGCAGGGGGGCAGCAGTGGGATCAGCCTGGCTCCCAGGAAGCTTGGCGCCTGTGCTGGGAAGCTGACAGCCCTCAGTGTTGGGGAAGGGGATCCCAGGATCGATTTCCCCTACGAAGCAAAACCAGACAATGGAGAGTGCTTGGGGAAGGTAGGAGTTCATGGTCTTCCTCTTTCTCCTCATCTTCAGGCCTTCTTCCAAGGTCTCTCTAGGCTGTTTTCACTCCCTGACTCCTCATCTCTTTTACCTCCTCACACATCTCCAAGTCTTTTGACATCAGGCTTTGGTCACAGAATAAGCATGCCACAGTGCACTGACAGAAACCAGCTACACCATCTATTACACTGGGATACAACAGTAATGAAGAGGTCCCGTTCAAACTGCCTGTCCCACCTGCTGTCTCCTGCTCAAACACATCTGAAGGACTGCTGAAGTTCTTCCTCCTGTGAGTCTGGTTGCCTTTCTATGCCTGCTGCTCCCATGGCCAGGAGCTTCCAGGGCTACTGTGCCTGGCAACTTCTTTACAGGAGCTTTTCTTGCTCCCTGGCAGCCAACAGAGCTCCCTGCAACAAGCTGCAGGGAGAAGGTGGACACAGCTTCACTTGTTCTCCCATCCCTGGTTGTCCCAGATTCAGGGGACATACTATAGAAATGGAAACAGCCACAGAGCCCAGCTCCTTCCAACACTGCAAGGGACCCCAGGACAACAGAGCCCAGTCCCAGCAGATGGGCTTTGGAGTCTGAATGGCATGTACTGGGCTGGCAGGGAAGGACAGGGCAAGTAGAAAACACGCAACTGACTGTCCGGTCTTTTTCCTTCTTGATCTCTGTGAACCACAGCCTTCATTATACACACACTCATCCTAACCCTACTTCTTAGGCTGTCTCAGACTGAGGATGACACAGGAAGCACTTTGGGAAAGAGAAGGCAGAAGCCAGGGCTCTTTCTTCTGCTACCTGCTCTGCCTGGCTCCACGCTGTGCTCCCCAGGCACTGACTGCTTCAGCTCGAGGCCAGTCCTGCACCCGCTCAGGCACACTCAGCACATCTGAATGTGGTACAGCCAACAGCCTGTCCACCTCTTCTTCTGTGTGCAACTCTTGGCAGCTTTCTCTCAGTCCGTCCTTATGCAGCAATCAGCAATACTTCATTTTCAGTGTCTATGCCAACTATGACATCTGTTCTTCCTGCATGCTCAAATCCAAAACAAGGCAGTGCAACCTAAACTCATCTTGAGTCTCACTCTACTAGAGTTTTCACCCTGCATGTGCAACAAGTCACTTAGCCGTCTACTTGGGTCTAAAGGCACAAGAACATCAGTAGAGTTCTCACTACCTTCTACTGAAACAAGCAGTTTTGGTAGGGCTCACACAAAAATAACATCTTCAGCTCCACTCCCCCTGTCCCAGTTCTGACCAGCAGTGCACACAGCGACCCTCCCAGGCCATGCAGCCATGGCAGCAGGAGATGCAGCACACTGCAAGGTGGTCTGAAGCCAGAGCCACTTTTAACTGCCCAGCTTCTTTCACAAACAGGATCTGTCTGCCCCACATTTGAATCCCTCTGCCCGATCAGCATGAAACAAAGCAAAGCATGTCTTATCAACTGGAGATCAGCTCCCAAAGCCAGACTTAAAAGCGAACCCATCAGAAATAAGTTTCAAATGCGTTGGTCTCCCTTCATTCCCCATTCAGTGTGACACGATGAAACCACAGTAGCTGTTATCCTTCCACTAGTTTTCGTGTGAAGTCCCACAGACAATTCAGCTCAGCTTTTAGTGCTCAGGCTGCTGTCAGCCCTAGTAAAAGTACTTCTGGGTTGGCAATATCAGGCAGATGGAGCAGAACTGCTGGCTCAGCTATCCACGCTTGGCCACTCTCCTGCTGGGCCAATCTCCTGTTTGGGTGGGGGAGAAAGATGGAGAGTAAGAAAAGTGCTTCTCTGTATTTAATCAGATACCTGGCAGTCCTGATGAAGCTTAGCAGCAAGGATTTAATGAGATGGACCAAGGAAGCCAGCATGATTTCTGAAAAGGGGAATCTTTTAGCTCTGTCAAGCACTCACCAAGTAACTAGCTGAGCTCTGGTAGATGCAGCAGAGCTGTGAAAGCCTGGCAACATATTTGCTGTAAGAAATTATGTCATTGCTTCCAATCCAGAGTACAAAATCATTCAATCATCAGAAAAAGAAACAGGTAAGGAACAGCTCTGAGCTGCTCACTGCCAGGCAGTGCTAAACAGAGAGCTGGACTTTTAAATAAAACCACAATCTTCCGAGCCGCATGATGTGCCACCAGACCATGTGTTTTTATAAACAGCACATCTGGGCACAGAAGCAGCTCTATGTAAAGAAAGCAGACACCATTGTCCCAGTGTTGGATTAGATCACATCTCTATTCAGCCATTGGGTCAATTAACATTCTGAATGAAGTTCTTCTAACAGCTAGTCACCAAAAAAATGGCCAGATCACTGATTGCAGCAGAAATACCAAGTCACAGCTTGAAGCAGTGATTGAGCACCTGGTGGGAAGGCAGGGCCATCCCAGGGGAGCTCAGGTGCATGCAATGTACCTGAATGACTGGATCCTGGCTCCACCCCTTCCCAGACCTCATTTAAGGGCTGGCAGTGGAGGCAAAGGTGTCTCTCCAGAGATTCCTACCTACTGGAGGTCTTCTAAGGGTAAGCAGTTGTGGTTTTCTGTGTCTCTAGCTACATTTGAGTGTATCCTCACCTGCTGCAGCCTTTTTCCATCATGTTATAGTGATCAGAATTGGAAATGCTTATGCTCTTTAACTCAGCTAGGTGCCATTGTTTCTCTGGTATAATTAATTACAATTAATCCATGGCATTACTGTAGGTCAGTTTTCAAAATATTCCTTACTACCACCTCTCCTGGAAGCTGCTGGTCTGAATGACTATGCCTGTAGCTTCCTAGTTAGCAGAAACAATCAACAGCTTTTTTTCTGCTGACCAAAAATAAACTGAGGCCAGAGGACAAAATGAGACCTCATTTATAGCAAAGAAAATCAAGGGAGTAAAGCAGAACTCTTGTGGAAAAAGTAGTTTGGGTAGCTGAGAGTTGGTGTTTGGATGACTGCAAAGCTCTTTGTGTTTAACTGGGCCTCAAACACCCACAGCTGCCTCACGTACTTGGAAGAGTACATGGAGCAAGATAAGAAGCCTGGAGTGCTAATAGTTCATGTGAAATTCAGGTGAGGAAAGGTCTTCAGTTTCACTGACTGTTGTAACAGCTCACTGCTAGGAAGCTGAAGTGACTCTATCTACTGGTGCACACACAGCTCCCTGTTTGTCACACACCACAGCCTGGCTCTGGAATGGAGCATCCAGGGAGGCTGCCCAGCAGAAGCAGCTTTTCAGGAGCTACTCAGACAAATGTTGCCCTGAGATGGGTCTAACAGGACCAGCTCTCACCTTTGGGGAAGGACTGCACCAAGCCAGCCTGTGGGTTTCTCAGAAAACATGCCATAAGAATGTTCCTTTAGGTTTTGATGTGAAAGAGTAACCAGCATCCTGAATTTCTGTTATTTTTGGTTGTAATGGAAAACACTGCATAGACATACAGATTTCTCATAGATGTCAGTCCTGCAGTGTGAAGATGAGGGACATGGGGAGTAGTGACACTTAGAAGTCCTTTTTGTACCTCTTTTGTACAGTTCTGTAACCTATTGTGCCATTCTGGTAATATAGGAATTCAAATTCCTCTGGCACAGCTTGCTGCTGTGCAATCATAAAGGACAGTCTGTGTTCACAAAAATGACAGAGCATTCTTTTGTCAGCTATCCTAAAGGCTTAACAGCAGCAGTGGGTGTCTGCAGTAGCAACAAAGTGCTTCCAAACAGAATAAAGCATTCCAGCCAGAAGTGAAAAAAGAAAACCCACAGAATATCAGATCTACAGATAAAAAACGGTAATTAAAAATTGCAGGATTGGATTTTTAAGGATATTATGGTGTTTTTAATTCTTTTTTTTTTTTACAAAGTACTCGAGGTTACTAAAAGAGACATCTGACATTAAGGACTACTTCAATCTCCCTACTCTGAAACTGGCTGCACAAAACACTGGTAAGCATACACCATCTGTCTGGACTTTGTACCCAGCAGTAACGATGAGAAATGTTCTTACAAACACAGGAAAATGAGTTTGGAGAGTCATCAAATCTAATCTAGAAACTGAGGAGAGAATGACTTCTTGTTATAAACCAGCTCTCAAAGCAACCATCTTAAAACAACCCTCCCAAACCTGAAGTGCTTTTATCACAGGTGAGGTTAAACTTGCTTCTCTTGCAGCTGGAACACTAAATGCAATTTGGACATGATTTGCAATCTGTGCTTTAGCACTTGGGGCAGCAGGGTTTGAACAGACACAGCCAGCTCCCACCTGTTGGCTGTCACACTGCTGAAAAGTTAACATGGAATCACCTCCCTTCTGAAAAACAAACCATGAAAATGTGGACTTACAAAATCAATAGCTTTTAGCAGGTTGGAAGTGTTTCTGCCATGGCTTCAGCAAACTGCTGCTGCTCACATAGGATAAGTTGGCAGCTGACTGCAGGAAAACAGTTCCTGACCATGTCACCTAAAAGAGAACAGGAATGGGATGACCAGGACTGCACTGTCCTCTGCAGCCATGACTTTGCAGAGATCTGCACAATTCACAACTAATTTCTCTATTGCTGGACAGCTAAGAACGGTCACTTTAAATCAAATAACTTCCCCTTAAAAATATTTATTCAGCATAAAAATCCAGAAATAGAAAACATACAAATGTTACAAGAAAATGCCTAGGCTACATTGTACAGCAGCATTTGAATCTGTACACATCGAGGTACTTTGTGAGACACAACTTCCAGTTTGTCTCCCCAGCAGGTGCTGAGGCCAACACCCTGCCCCCCTCACAACCTCCAGGGCAAAGCTTCAGAGGAATGATCACGCGCTGTTTGTTCTGCAGGTCTTTAGTCTGAAGAATCTGGTGTCCAGATACACATGCAAAGACAACTCCTACAAGAATTGGTGCATAAATCTTGAAGGTCTTGCATCAGAACTGCTGCTGTCTCCCGGTGGCTCCTGGAGCAGGAAGGACGTGCGTGTAGGATGATAACCACTGGGCTGCTCAGTGAGTACCAGCTTCAATCTCTCCTACTGGCAGTGATGACATTTAATAGAATCAGATGGATCAGAAGGAAGGAAACTCGGTTTGTTTGCTCTGTCCCTCCATTAGTAACTGAACTTAGTATGCAGAAGATTTTCTCATGGGAAAACAGATGACAGAGGTTGATAATGGAGGATGATTTCCATTAAAGCACCTGCTTTTAACTCAGTCCAGACTAACTTCAGTTGCTCCTGTAAAATGAGTGGAAGAGCTCGACGTCTGCTGCCAAAACACATCTGTCACTAAAGGCACTCACAGCAGCTGGGAACATCCTCCACCACTCACAGCACTGATCCCACAAAGCTGGAGGGGGAGGAAAAGACCAGGCAGCTCCTCAGACCTGCACAGCTGGAAAAACATTCTCTGAGGTACTAACATGTGTGCAAAAATCAGCAAGGAAAAGGATCCCTGCCTCATGGACAGCATCTGTTATACTTAAATGTACAAGAAATGGGAAAAGTTCAGTGTGGTTTGTGGCACTTTTTTCATATAACTGGGGCTCTCCAAAGAACAGAGAAGCTGGAAACAGATGTTCCCATGAGGCTGGTATGGGAAGGATGGAATACAAACAATTACACTTCTTTTCCAAACGGATCTGGCACTGCAAATATAAATTCGGAGGATAAAGAATGATAAATATCAATTACCCTTTTAGAAAATCCTCTCATATCCTTTCAGCCACTTAGCAAGCACTACAACCACAGATCGTCAGGAGTGGTATGAGTAAGCCATAGGGCTATCCAGCAACATGATGTGATCTATTTTTAATACACTTCCCATCTGCCTTCAAAATTTGCACTAGGCTAATCCGAAGATGTCAGAAAGAAGAACTGCCACTAATGGACAGGGAGTCTGTCCTTTCCTAAAGCTGATTCATCTTTCTTTTCTGTGACTATCAATCTGTGTCCCCTCTTGCAACCACCTGTTCTTCAGCCTTTTACCCATCCATTTCTGTAAATTTTCTTTTCCCGTAATTCTGGACCAGACTGGAAACTGTGATTTGTGAAGCCTGTCCCTTTTCCCAGCACTGGAAGTCGTTCAGCCCCTTCTGGCCAGCTTGAAATAAGGCTCTCTCTAACTCATCCAGCCGAGCCACCAGACCTGAGGTGTCCTCATTGTAGGCATTCTGAGAGGAGTCCATGATACGACGGAAACGGCTGATAAACGTCTAAAGAAGATAAGCAAAATTACTGACACGTAAAGCAGGGGCTGCTTCAGCTTGAATGCTAGAGACCTTCCAAGACAGGAGTTGCTCACAGCAGGGTCTGCCAGCTGCTGGCACGGCTGTGTACACAGCACCTATTAATCCTGGGTATGAAGACAAACCACTTCCTGCCTGAGCTTGGAGAGTGAATATCTGATACAGTGGAGAGGAAGCATTCACGGAATTAGATTTGGCTGCTCTCTAAGGACAGGCTTGAGCAGACCAGAGGGCGTAACACAATTAGCATGCACTCCATCTCACTTAACCAGTGGAATGAATCTTGTGCCACAGCAGCTGCTGTAGGAACAGACAAGCTGCAGCTTGTGAATGGACCAGAAGATATGTCATCATGAGGAAGATTCAGCATGCTGAAATAACACTTACCACCCCCCCCCCCCAGTCTACGACTAACACACAACATCTTAAAAACCAAAAGGATACACTGAAAGCTTTTAAACCCAAGCAAAAACAAGGAGGAAGTCAAAACCCTATTTATGGTGGTTTTGTTTTGTTTTTTTTTAAAGTAAAACAGCATAGCTCCTCTCATTTGCTTTCAACAAGTTGCACCTTGCATGCTTTGATATTTCAGTCAACTAGTGATGTACTGAAGTGGTTCTCTTGCTAAGATGTACATCAGCAGAAGGAAAAGATGAGAAAAGGTGTGGTCACCTCCTCAATGCAGAAAGCAAGCCTTCCGTAGTCCCCTCTAACGAAGGAGTAATATTTGATAATTTCATGAATGAAGTTAATTAATGGAATAGAAATTATGGTTATTAGATTAGCAAACAATATCCAGGAATAGAAGGATGGATGACTGTGGACACATCAGGGGATTTGTGAATAATAATTCACAAGTAATCCTGACAAACTAGAAAAATAGTCTGAAAATCATTGGATGTAATTACCTGGACTACTGCAAGGTTCCTACACAAAGGCAGAAATAATTAACTACAAAAATGCAGGTTAAAGAATGATGGTCTAAATACGCAGGCTTTACCACCTCACTGTGGACTGCAAACCAAATGTGGCAACGTCACACTATTGAGAAAAATAGAAAAACTGTGTCGTGATGAGGAAACACCATCATGGCCTGGAAAATTCTCAAAGGAATCTTCCCATGGGCACAAGGCAAGATGTGTGCTGTTCAAGATACTGCTGATCCAAGCAGCTGGAGCTGAACTGGAAAAATACCAGCAGCGATCAGAGGTTAGGAAGCATGACACACAGTGAGGTATCAAATGAATTGGGATCATTTATCCCAGAGTGAAGAAAGTCAATGTTCAAATACATAATAGCCTGCTGAAGGAAGAGAATCTGTTCTCAGTGTTTACTTTGTGTGAGACAAACAGAACAGAGCTTGTATTGCTGTGAAACAGATTTTGTTTAAGCCTAAGATAGGATGGTGAAGCAATGGAACAGCTGCACAGGACAGTATGAAGAGAGCTTTAAAAACAGGTTAAAAACAAAAAAAAATAGGGCAAATCAATTCTGCCTTGCAGCAATGGAACAGATAAAATACAGTTGCATCCTCTTTAGTCCTATTTTACAGGATTTTCTGAAATATCGTATTTACAGCATGGAAACTCTAGGCTAAAATCCAACTCTTGGATGTGCACTTGAGGCTTGCACTGACATTAATAGGCTGCAATTCCCCAAAAGGCTCATACAACCTGATCTACAGATCCTTAATCCATTCCGAAGTCATCTGAATTGGAACAAGCTGTTTATCCTGGAGTCTGCTGGGCAGCTGGGAACAAGATATGCAAACACAGAGACAAACTTCAGGCCTCAGCTCTCATACTTGCCTGCAGGATAGTCTGAGCTATCTCGGGGTTCTCTGGGTTGTCGAAGTTCAGGAGCTGGGAGCCAAATCCATAGTAGTACGGCCCCATTTTATGCAAATCGACCACATTGGCATCAGCTCTGAACACTGTCCTCCAGGCCTCCTTGTAGATCTTCGGCAGCTCCACAGAGATCAGCCTCCTCTTGCTGTCATGCAGCCCCTTGGCCAGCCACATCG